ATGTAAATGGCTTAAATATGAACAAAGCATGTCTTAAACCAGGACTAAAGAGCCAGTCATGGACATCCCAGTAGATTTCTACTCTTGTTTTGTTCACATATATAGATTCATTACCTCTGAACTTCCATTGCAGATGCTTCACATGAATGACCAAATGTCCATCAATACTTATGTCCATTTCTGGCTCCAACCCACCATTCCCTCTGTTCTTGCACTCAATTAATATCTCATGAAACCTGCCTTTCTCATGAAACTTAACTCTTGTACCGAACTTCTTCTTCCCAAATATATGTTCCTTTCTTGAAACCAAGATTGGGTCTATCAGAGCTGGCCTGCATCCTGTTTTCTTATAAGCATCTTTCTTGAGGTCTCCCAGGAGTAACACAACCTCTTCATTGCTAATAACTGCAACGTAGTACTCCGAACCAGGCTCGGTTTCTCCGTTGAATTTAGCAGCCTTGAGGTCCCAGAATATATCAACAGCTTTACCCTCTACCATGAATCGCTTGGATCCTTGTTTCCTCCAGAAATACCATGGCTTCAGTTCAACTTTGCAGGTGTACTGATTTTCTCCTTCTGGACCTTCAACTGACACGGATAATCCATGGACTAACAAGTTTTTGCACCATGTGATGGTGATCAAACGACACTGATCGGCGATCTTGGTCCGATACACAGACATGAAAACACTCTGTCCAGACCTGGTTACTGCAGCAGCAGGGTCATGATCACTCGGCTTCTCACTTGACGAAAAGCAGGCAGGAATCCCAATTGGGTCTTGCATGTTTTTGAAACTTTGGTGTGAGTGAACGTGAAGTTGGGAGAAAGGAAGAAGATTGTGTTCGAGTTGGGGAAAACTGAATTTTCAGCGAGGAAAAATAACAGAGAGAGGGAGAGAGAGATCTTACTCACAGCCTGTACCAGTGATCATACAGAAGCTGCCAGAAGTGTTCTTGGCCGAATATAAATGGAAATGAAAACCAAAACTACATATTAAAAAGAAGATATCTATATAATACTATTATTTCCAAACTGGCAAGCGAGTGAGAGTGAGTGAAGAACAGCCCTTCTACTTACATACATACATATATATATATATATATATATATATGTATTGATCAGCTGATCTTGCCTGGATTCTTGTTTAGTTGTTTTTAGCAATAGAAGACAACTTCATTGAATCCGAGGTGGTTTTGCTTCTGTTTGAACTAAAAAACATATTTCCATGCATGTTAAAAGCATAGAATTCTAATTTTCACCAGATCTGGAGTATAGATTTCTACGTATACACATAAATATTCTTGGTTTAATTATCTTGGTAGCACATGTAATGTGGGTTAAAAGAAAATATTTTTTTAAAAAAAAGATGGCCAGTCAAAACTAGTGTTTCCATAAATAAGGAAATGGGTTTTCCGATGCAGGTTTTTGTACTTTTTAAGTTTTTGTTAACCACTCAGTATTTTTATTTACATATTGTATTATAATTATTTAATTAATAAATATTTAAAAAAGAAAGCAAATTAAAGTGAAATAGGAAAGTTGGTTTAGAGAAGAAGCCAACTTAATCCTAATAAGAGAGATACACAATCTGTTGTTGAAGATTTATGCAAGCAACAAAACATATATCAGCAGAAAATTATATATTTAAAATAAAGATATTAGAACTTTGGCAATAACAATATGATTAAGATTATAAAATTTTTATACCTCAGAATAATAATTAATTTATAGATATGTGGCTCAATTTTCTTTGAAATAAATCATTTTTAAAAAATTTCACTAATTGCATTGAACATGGTCTCGGTCAATATAGTGTGTGTATGTTCATTAATTTTGCAATTTTTATGAATTTTTTAATTAAAATTTATTAGAGTTTAGGGCAAATTCAGACTTTGGGCTTGGATCCCCATCCATCCATCATGTATTCTAACACATTTACGTATATACTTTCAATTAATGTTAATCACAAATTTTTAATTATTAAAAAGAATGCATATAACAAAGTGGGTGGTGATTTTTCAAATAGAATAGCTAAATTTTCATATTATATATTAATACTCATTCACTTTGCCTCTTTTAAGTTTCTAACCATTCACGAATCATGTCAAAATTGAAGTTCCTTTATAATCAATATTAATTAATGAACTCTTATTTAATGGATCAATAAATCTATAATTATTCATTTCGTATTTGTATTAAACACATAATGTTTAATTGATATGTTACTAAAAAATAATGATTAATAATCTCTAAACGTTAAAATTGAGATTGTATTTAAATAACAAGATACAATTTTTTTTTTTATACTCACTCATATATTTATTTTATTTTATTTAATAAACTAAACATACTATTCATTTGAAATAGAATTTAAAAATCTTTATTTCAACAACTCTTAACATTTGCCCTAATCGAGCTATGCAACATTTTTCCATCATTAGAATCTAATTGTGTATTTTCAGATTTTGGAAGTAGTAGTAATTTTACTATTTATTCTTTGAAAATAGAAACTTAACCACTATTATTAGGATTGAAGTTCTTCTTGGTGGGATTAAGTTGTTAATGAGATGTTAACAATAAATTGAAAAGACATTCAATTCAGTACAAAAATGAATATGTTTTGTTTTGTTTTTTAAGCATATTTGTTAAAACGTCAATTACGTGATGACTTTATAATAATATAAAAGCCGGTGATTTTGTTTCTTCAAACATTTAAGTAAAGAAAACAAAAAAACTTTAATATATTTACTTCCCAACTCGATCCGACCCGATTCGTCTAATTAGTAAGAGATCGAGATCTCTCTCCACTATGGCGAGACGCAAGCTTGCATCACAGGATCTTGCCACGTATAATGTCTAAATCCAAGATGATGGCTTACAAAACCACATGCTTCTGACGGCCACCATACAGGTTGATACTTGAAAGATCAAACCTTGCCTTTTTTTAAAAAACGACCTGAAGCCAAACGGAAATCCAATTTTTCTTCAATAATATATAAAGAAGAAATTAAGATATTAAAATGAAAATCCTTCAGTGTGTCAGTCGGCCACGTTCAGTTTTACTAACTCGACGACCCATCTAGACGTTTCTCCTTCACGATTTGTTTCTCTCTCCTGCCCCACCCCGCTGCTGATTCACTTTTCTCTTCTTTTCTTGTCCGCCTTCTTTGCATCTAATCAGGAAATTTTTGATACCCCAGAAAATTGTTCAAATCTTGACTTTGATTTCTGGTTATTCTGGGGGGAATCAAATCACGGATATTCGTATTTTTTGCGTGTGAAAAGACGAGAATGCCACAGGATTCTTCGTCTGAGCAAGACCCTGACGATTCTGATGCGGAGTTCGTTGAGATTGATCCAACTGGTCGCTATGGTCGGGTCTGTCTTTCATTTGCTTTCATTTCATTTTCTCTGTTTGTTACTATTTTCAGCTTTCTACATATCTTTAAAGCTGAGTTCTGACAAATTAGTTAATCTCTTTCTCTTACTTTTCTTATACCCATGATGGATTGATTGCAATATTTCTTAGATAAATTTTTTTTTATTTTTTATTTTTTATTTTTTATTAAATCACATTGGTTTTTGCAGTATAAGGAGGTTCTAGGAAGAGGGGCTTTCAAAAAAGTGTATCCTTCCTTTATTTTGTTACTTTAGAATTGACGTAAGAGATAACAAGAACTAAGTACAGAGACACATAGACATGCATATGTGTATGTGGGAATTTGATCCTTAATTGTGTTTAGAAGGTTCCTGTTATCCTTGACCAGGTTTTGGAAATTCAGATATAGAGCATTTGATGAACTTGAAGGAATAGAAGTAGCATGGAATCAGGTTAAGCTGTCAGATCTATTACGTAATTCTGAAGATTTGGAACGTCTTTATTCAGAAGTTCATTTGCTTAAGACTTTAAAACACAAAAATATTATAAAGTTTTACAATTCGTGGGTTGACACCAAACATGAGCATATCAACATTATTACTGAGATTTTCACTTCAGGGACATTGAGGCAGTAAGTGGCGAAATCACGCAAGCAAATTTTGTTTTATCCTTTTCTTTCTGCTCTTTTGTTCTAATTGAGGGCTACGTTAATCATCATTGTGTAGGTATAGGAAGAAACATAAGCATGTTGATTTGAGAGCATTAAAAAAATGGTCCAAGCAGATCTTGGAGGGGCTATTATATCTTCACAGTCATGATCCTCCTGTGATTCATAGAGATTTGAAGTGCGATAATATTTTTGTCAATGGAAACCAAGGCGAGGTGAAAATTGGTGATTTAGGACTGGCTGCCGTTCTGTGTCAGGCTCGATCAGCTCATAGTGTTATTGGTAAGGAGCCATAATATCCTGACCTTCTCCTGAGTTAGAGGCTTTGTTAACATGAAGCAATGTGATAATTAATGTAATTAGGTACTCCTGAGTTTATGGCACCAGAACTTTATGAGGAGGAATACAATGAGCTTGTGGATATTTATGCTTTTGGGATGTGCTTGCTAGAGTTGGTGACTTTTGAGTATCCATATGTCGAATGTGCCAATGCTGCTCAAATTTTCAAGAAAGTGACATCGGTAAGTATTTATTGTTTTTGTCCCATTTGAACTTTGTGCATTTTCCAAGGTACTTTCTTTGTACCTTGAATATCCGTGAATGTTTGCAGATCATGTCCTACTCCCAAGCGTCTGTTCGCTTTTGGAGTCCACTTTGTTTGTACGAGACCGATTTCATTTGATGCACCTTAAAAGAATCTCTTTACAGGATCTCTCTTTCCTTTGGTTAGTAGATGGCACATAGGATACTTCGTTGTCTGGTTCTCAAAATTCCAACTTTGAACAGTAAACTGAAAGCCTGAGTTGATTTCTCCGGATAGTTTGATGTTTTTTTATGAACATAACCTAATTAAGAAGTAATAATACAGAAATAATCTAATCATTGATATGATTCTTCAATGAGTATTCTTTTCGACATATGTCTTGACAGCTTTTATTAATTTTGGTGTATCCAACAAATTAATTAGCTGGGCTTTTGAGGATGTCACTTTTCTGTCTTAGATTATTTACTCTTGCTGCAATTCAATAACGCACTGAGTCGATGATGTGCTCAATAATGGCAATGGATGATGCAGGACAGCCCTAGCTGGTGCAAATTTGTCAGTGTTTAGGATTTAGTTGGAAGCATCAAAGGAGCTTTGGTAGATGTCTTTTCATTTTTCTCTTTCACCAACTTAATATTCATAGAACAATACTTTCATTTATATCTCTCGAGTTTGCTCTGTATAGGCTTGTACTTTCTCTTTATTTCCAGCAGAAACTTGCAATTTTTTTCTTTTTTTTTTTTTTTGTGGGAGATAAACTCCAAGATATTGTCCTGCTGCCAACCAGTCCTAAACACTTAATTGATAGAGTTCAACTTCAAACCGTCAAGCAAGCTACCATTTTGATCTTGTTTCAATCAAATAGGATTTTGATCCATGCCCTTTTGGGATATTAATATCTTCTGGGTAGCTCAAGCATTTTCCTTGAGTTTTTAGATTGTCATTTTTGTGCAAAAAACATGTCTAATTTATCTGTTCTTTTGTTTTTCCCCATATATTATATGCTTGATCTTCTGTTCAGTTTTACAATTCATTATCAACTAATTTCCTAGGCAGAACGTCAGTGATGTAGCCCAAGTACACAAGACATTTAGCAGAGAGCCGTGTTGAGACTGAAAGGGTATACTCTACTTTGTAAAATCATGTACATACCCAAAAAAAAACTAAGATAAATAGCTGTTGGAATAACAGAAAGGAGTCCGAAGTTGCTGTGATTTTTCCAATTAGAGAATAGTTATGATTCATTAGGAATTTAAGCTTCTCCAGCAACAGGTCTCTATATATCTATACACATTTTATATATATGTATATACACATTCAATGCCAATCCTTATCAACTTTTTATACCATGTGTATTTCAAAACAGAAGCAGTTAGAAGTATTGAACTAAATAATGTTTCTTCATAGCTATGGGGGGTGCCTTTTTTTTTTGTCAGGGAGTAAAACCTGCGTCACTTGCGAAAGTGACGGATCCTGATGTTAGAGCATTTATAGAAAAGTGTATTGCAAAAGTCCCAGATCGCTTGCCTGCCAAGGAACTCTTGAATGATCCTTTTCTTTGGTCAGATGAGGAAAGTGAGACCATAGGCTGTTCAATGAAACCTAAAACTTACAATTCAGGTAAATATGAAGAATTTCTAGGGTTAGAAAGATTTTAATTGTTTTGACTTCATTTCTGACTTGGAAGCTGATTTGTTTTTCTGAACTTGAACTGCAGATTTTAGTTGTGATCAACTTGATATTGATAAAAGCACTAAGAATTTACCTGCTGAGAGTGGCATTGACTTAACAGTGCAAGGTCAAAGGAAAGACATTCACACAATATTCCTGAAACTGCGAATAGCAGATTCTACAGGTTTTCTTTCATGCCGCTGCTTGTTTATGTACTTGTGTTTCCCAGACTCTTGGCATTCAAAATTATTTTCCAACGTGATTTCAGGTCATTTTCGAAATATCCACTTTCCTTTCGATATTGAGGCTGATACATCGACTGCGGTTGCTGGTGAAATGGTTGAGGAGTTAGACCTCACAGATCAAGATGTTTCAACAATTGCTGAAATTATTGACTCAGAAATTCGATCCCTTATTCCAGATTGGTCACCTCGGAAAACTTTTGGAGGTGAAATCAGTAGAGTGTTTGCAAATACTGACGACCATCTGGTGGCAAAGGATGATGCTTCTGTCGAGACTAGTGAGTCACCTTCTTCTCTTGGTAGTCTCTCATTGGAAAGATTGCCATCAGGTAGAAAATATTGGTCTGACTCACCAAAGGCAGCTGGTGCAAACTCTCTAAGTAGACCAGGTCTTTCAAACTTGTCTTCGCCGGCAGATACAAATAATACACGAGATTGTTTAATTGAACTTAATGAACAATCTCCGGTTCGCTATGCAGATGGAGGTAATCTAAATGGTACTGTATCAGTTGAAGAACTGGAGGTTGAACTCATGCTCCGTGCAGGTGAGGGAAACAAGGATAATGGCAATGAGACAACTCCATCAGAAGAAACCAACAAGATATTAAATGACACTGAAACAGAGGTAAAGAGAATAGCCAATGAGCTCGAGTCTGTAATTATGAAGCAGGAAAAGGAGCTAGATGAGCTAAGGAGGAAGCATGAACTAGCTATATCCAGCTTTCTAAACGAACTTTCTCCGGATCTCTGTCAAAAGGTGTTGCAAGCATGCAAGCTGAAGATTACGGATTATAAGAGGCAGGTTGAGCGACAATGCTAGCATTTGCACCGAGATCAAATTTTTTAACAATTGGAATGTTAAAAATTTGAAATTCAAGACAATCTAAAACTTGGGGGGGTGAAGATATTCTACAGTGGCCAAAGATTTTCCACATTCTTTGCTTGTATAGAAAAGGATGTAGCACTGAGCTGGGGGAAAAAGAAATGAAAGAAAATGTAGCACATGTTGAAAGGAAAGTCCAATATAATATGGATGTATCGTCATACTGAGACCTGACAGACGATGCAATGGAGGCCCAAGGAGTCGTGGTTTTCAAAGTTGCCTCCACTAAAGGTTAGCAGATATTGGGATATAGAAACAATTTACGGTGCACAAGCTTGGATTCTGTTCAGGAGATGCATACTTTCTTTAAGTTTTTCTGTATAGTGTATTTTTTATTATCAGCCTAGATGTATCAACACATGATTACACGCATTTTCTCTCCGTTCTTGTTTGTTTTGTCTGAAATGTGTTGCAATGCACTTACACTTGTAAATATTGCCCATCAATTTGTTCTATTTACATGGTAATCTACTGTTTAGGACTTAAAAACTGTCGTTGCATGGTTCCATTTGTCCTGTAATTTACCTGCTTTGTTCATCTACTCTCTGAAACAAGTGAGAGTTATGGTTTTCTGAAGCATTGATGTAATTTACCCGTTATGCTAAGCGGGGAATTTGTTTCTCTAGTGATTTAGAAGTGCGAGCAAATGTCCCAGATTGTTCAATCTCCAATATTCTAAGTACTGGTGAATAGAGATCTAAGGTGAAAGGATAAAGGATACCAATATCCTTACTATGATCATCCATATTTAAAATTATCAAGGAAATAACACTTATTTCAACTACCATATTAGCCACAAATTATTCTTATTGGATGATTAGTATGTTATCGTTCTCTGAATTCAAACTTTGACTTGTGCATCCATCCCTATTCGTAGGGCAATCAGAAAATCATCCCAGTAGTCTACGAGCCTCCCGAGGAGAGGCTTCAGTTCAATCCCTCCAGTGGGCCATTTATGTGAGGAACAGAAAAAAAAATACTATTGTATTAGCCGATGGAGCCTCTAGCAAGTCTGATGATATCTTGCACTTGAATTCGGGATTTAGAACTAGGAAGGAGATGAAGCCTTCCAGAAGATGTTTGGCAAATGGAGGAAGATGAGCTTCTCTACTCATTATAGATGGTAGCCTCTGTAACAGGTTAAATTTACATGGACATAATACATACAAATGATCATGCTGTGATCATGGGCCATTTTCAGCAACAATTTTTCCCTAAAACATCTAAAATATGAAATGACCCAATTCCTTGAAGTTACGTACTGGTACTCAAAACCCAGTTTTGTTGATACAGCATCCTGATCAATTAGTGATGCAAGGCTGGAATCAGTATAACCTGCAAACTTCATGACATTTGCTTACCGTTTTAGAAGATGGTTGACAGAATCAACTGTTGAACAAATGCTGCTCTCTTTCTTCGCTCCTCTTTATCCTGTTCATGAACTTCATCCAGGAACGAGTGCTCGGAACTGCAAATGGTTAAGTAATCAGTAAAATCCAATTTCTTTAGTACTGTGAGAACGGAATCGCAATGCACTTGCTCAAATTGTGGAGTTCAATACAAGGTGCGCACGCATTTAAAAATTTTGAGATCAATACAAGGTGTGGATACATCAATAAGATTCTGAGCATGATCTTAAGTGAGAAAGTGGTCTGCTACTAAGAAGAAAGACATCAATGCTCGAGAGTTCTAACAAAACCATTATTTTTTAGGTAACTAATAAAACCATTATGAAAGTTTAAATCTTTAAGACATGCAAAAAAGAAAAATTTATCTGATGAAAAAAGGAAGAGTTGCAAGCAGATAGCACATGCAGGAGAAAACAAGCATGATACAAGTAACTTTGAGAAATTCAATAGTTAAAATACATAAAAGAAGTCAAAAAATACTACTAACTATATACATTTTCAGCATAAATGTGATCCAGCATTATAAAACAATAATAAATGCTTAAGAATCATTTTGGAAGACTGAGTCTCCGCAATAACCTCACGTTAAACCAATAAAGCAGCAAAAGGTAAGTCTTTAGAATTTTTTATGGTAGACGGAACACATTATAGATAGTCAACAATGTTTTGCAAAGTTATTCTACATGCACAAAGTTACAACTCAAAGGAGCTCAAGCCAGTCTGGCTTGGTGGCAACACTACTGTTTAGTAGGGTTGAATGGCCTTGAAGTTACAAGTCCTAGGGCTAAGCCAACAGATTTTATGGTTCTGCTGACATCCCAGAAATTTCAAATTTACTGAAATGAGTCTTCAGATGAAAGCTAATGGTTATCAATGGTCCAACTGAATGAACTGGAACTGTTCTTAGGGGACAGTACATCCACTAATTTTAAGGGAGTTATCACCAAACCCGGCCCTTAAACTTTTAACCATTCCTCAATTACTCACATTTTAAATAGATTAATAAACACTTACCAAATTGTTTGTGACCTTTCCATCCCAGAATTACAGTTCTAAGCATAATGGAATTTAGATTCGAGCTGTACATTTGGCTTAACAGATTTTTAAGGATTTAATTTACCCCTTTATCGTAATAAACCAATCTTCTTTATTTGTCTCATTATTAAGCTAAATCTTTCCAACTCAGTAAGTGAAATCCTACACAAAACCAGGCTCAAGTTGCCACCATAATACTTGAGCCATACCAATCAAATCAAATTTATAAATGGAAACCCCTATCTCAACCAAGCTTACATATAGGCATTCCCAATAAATAATCAAAATTAAAGGGTAATTAATTTGCACAAAACAGTAATTAAACCTAATATCAAAACACCTTTCATTACATGATATTGTTTTAAAAGGCACTCAATAATCTGAATATTTCCTTAATTAGAATGGTATCTGCTGATTGGCAAGAAAGAATCAACTTTAAAATTCAACACCAAGGTCAAAAAACCATCTAAATCATATCCATAAGATGTGTTTCGTATCTGTTCTCCTCAAAGTTTTGACCTTTAACATGCAATGCATTCTCTTGAGTTAGCATTCAATGAATAAAGTCTCTGAGCATAGCACACACAATATACAAGTTCTAAGGAAAAGGAATGTACCTTTTCACTTCAAAGAAGCCAGAGACCTTGTCACTGCAGTAATCTTCTGGCTGGAAACCATTGGGGCCTGTGAAAGAAGCACTGCAGAAAAAAGGTGAAAGGACAGGATCAGGTATAGTTCCTCGCAAACTTCCCCCAGCATTCGTTGAAGATCCAAGAAATGAGATAAGTTCCCTGCCAAGCATTGCTGAACTACCCGTCAAGTGGCCTAACTTCTGAGATCTTCTCCTGCGCTGCAAAGCATAAAGAATATTCCTTTCTGCTAAATAACTCCAAAGAATAAGAATCTTTGAGAAATGTGCTAAATTTATAAAAGTTACCTTCAAGGAGCTAGCATGCTGCACAATGAAATGTCCAAGAACATCCCTTCCTAGATTTGCTGCACATAGAGGACAAACCTGAAATGGCAACAAAGAAGCATCTCTATCAAATTCTATAGAATCCTGATCAATTTATTGTGCCATAACCGCACATCACAAATATTTTTCTAAAGTTTCCTGGATCATAGATGAGAGGTCTGATTTAGTTAAAGTCATAGATTTGGAAAGTTCTGATTCTCTAAACCAAATCTGGAAGAGCACAACACTAAGTATTGAATACTTATCTTCAGGTTTGGCAAACAGCATTTACAAACTAAAGAAGATATCTGACCCAGGTTAGGAGGTAATTTATTAATTTCCATGAAGCAAAATCACGTTAAACAATTAATAAATGGACACGATACATTCATTTACTCCCATAATTTAGAAAGCATACCAACCAAAGAAATGTACATACTGAATTTTTCAAATCGAAGCAGTGTTCTTCCTGCAGGTGGCCGCACAATAAGTGAACCTCGATGTCCACGTAACAAAAAGGACATGGAAAACAAGCTCTTGCATCATCGTCTCCCTCTGAATCTTCAAGGACACTTTCTGCTTAATAATTTGAACAAGAGAAAGTAGTAACTGCTTAGTGGAGAAAATAGTCAACAATCTACCGGCGCAATCAATCCAATGTGCAATACTACCATTTTACGAATGAAAATGAGCACCGTAACAGAAGAAGGAAGATGAAAGAAAATATAAGGAAGATGAGAGAAAATATAGGACGGTCAGTTTAAACAATTCATCTCCCTAAGCACCTTGAGAGCTCACTTCTGCTAAAAGATCTAGTTATCTACCCATCAAAAAATATCTACTGAACTTGTCAGGACTTCCAATCCAAAAAACCGAAAGAAAAAGAAAAAAAAAAAAGAACAGCACAAAATGCAGGACAGGTAAATGCAGATATAATCGCTACATATATACATTTTTCTAATAAGATCACAATAAAATATATAATACAAAGTTCAAAAATGATATTGGTTAACTGTTGATCTAGCCGCGATGCTATTTCTTATGATAAAAACTATTTCCCAACATCTAATGCGGTTGCGAAAAGGGAACCAAAAGAAAATTCACATGCCTCTCTTCATCACTAAAAAACACCATAAGAACAGCTAATAAACAGTGTAGGCAAGCAATAACCTATAAGTTCATTCTTATCCAAATTTTGTACGTCACTACCTCCCCTTTCATGACATTTTGGTCTCCAAAAATGTACTTGAACAGATAATTTCAGCCACCTCTCACCTTCATCAGAACCATTTTCACTATCTGATTCTCTAGAATCTTCTGATTTTTGGGAATAGTCTGATTCATCTACATCTTCATCTTCACTGACCCCACTGGATTCAGTATCATCAGATTCTGTATCACTGTCCAGTTGACTACTAGTTTCAGAGAAAGTGAAGGAATTGGACGAGACTTGTAAATTTGCGTTGGATATGTGCAACACTAAAGCCTCGAGACAATCCACAGACTGCTGCAAATTGGAGATACGCTCATCAACATCTACAAAATCTTCAGTGGGCCAATTGCGGTCAAGTACTTCATCTCCATTAGACATACCCGATACCTATGGTTAAGTCTGTTTTGGGGGATTATCAACTTTCTCGTTCTATAAATACCCCCGCTTCTTGGTTGTGTCTATCCATGGTTTAGCTAAAGAATATCGGTTGCAAAACCCTAATTTTCTTCCCTTTTTTTCCTTCAAAAAAAAAAAAAAAAAGATAACTGGCTAGTTGAATTGAATCTCCTTAAATTCTGTAAGGAATAGGATTCTTTAACATCCCAAAAATATAGACTTCCCAATTATGAAATTGCACTTGTCATTGGCATTATTAGTTTTATTTTTATTAATTATAACCGATACGTTCAAGCCATCTCACAACGTAAATGTTTATGGGAATTTTTTTGAAAAAAAAAAAAAAAATCAACAATCAAAGAGGAGTCAACTCACGTTCAAAACCTTCAACCTGCAAGAGTCAAGGCCATTGATTCACAAATTTCAAAGAAAGAGAGAATAAGAATCTGAAAATTCAACTATTGAAAATGGAGAAATGAAACAATCAAATAAACTCCAGATTAGTAGTAAAATTTTAGACTTCACCTAAATAGAATGGCCAAAAGAAAAAGGCTCTTCGATACTAAGAAGCTGAAATCCCTGGAACAATCTATGTCTTTTGCAGGAAAACAACCGAAAGCCAAACAAACAGAAACGTGGTCTGAAAACAGAGGTAGTTACAAATCAAAGCCAGGTTTAGAAGCCGAAAAGCAAATGTAAAAGTAAAGTACCTGAAGAACTGAGATGAGCAGCAGGATGAACAAGAGGGAGGTGCTTGGAAGAGCGAACTCTCGGTGGCCACAATTCAATGTCCATGATGGAGTCAGATAGCCGGCGAGTGACGCGAACTTTCCCCTCCGGCGAGAATTAGTAGCAGGAAATGGAAAGTGATCTGCGATGAGGAGGGAGGCAGAGAGATACTGATGGATGGGATAGGAGTGACGTGTGCAGCTTATTTATCTTCCTGTCTCTCTGTCACTTCATCTTCGTCGTATATTGTTGCTCTCTTCTGCTCTGACATGGCGAAACGCTTCTGACTCACAAAAGCTGCTTTACGAATCACTGCCACGTGGCTTACATAAATTATAAGCCATAATAAATTTATTATATAATCATTCTTAAATAAAACTATTATATATATTTTTTAAAAGGGTTTGAGCTATCTTTAGTGCCATTAAAATCCTTTACATTTATGATCTACACTTTTCTACCCATTAATTGCTTTCTTTTTTCGTGTCTTTAATTTGCCAATTATATTTTCTTTTTTTTTCTTTTCAAATAAAATAAAATATTAATTATATCGCTTTTTTTTTTTTTTAAAGTCACGTAATATAGTTTGAATCAAGATTATAGTTTACTTATTTTAATAAAGTTTATGATTGGTTCAACCAACATTTTAAAATTTAGACTGATGATATAATTGGTAAATATATTTTTCTTCATGTTAATATCTTTTATTATTTATAAAAAATTATAGTACTGATAATTATGAAAATTATTATAATTTTTTATTATCAACTCATTATTATTGATGTTTTTAATTTTTTATTTTATTGAAATAATAATTTTTTTTTAAATAAGAAACTTTTATTTTTTTATATGATATAATAATATTTTTATTTATTGATAGTAAAAATAAAAAAAATAAATAAGTTAAGAGATAATTTATAAATTTTTATTATTTTATTTATGTTTTTTTTTAATGTAAATAATTGAAATTAACTCGATAAAAAATTAGATTAAATTTTTTTAATATGATGTAATTATTAAATTGACCAATATAATTTCTTCCTTGGTGATTCAATTTGGCTTTAAGTAATCTTTTTGATAATCACTCATATTTGTTGATGTAATTTCTTGAAAAAAAAATAGGAAACAAAAGGTTGTAATAAATTAATAGATGAAGAAGGAAAAGTGTCCTAAGAAACAGAAAGGCACGGCCACCCCCCAAGAGTAACTTTAACCTCAACCCACTAAGCCCTATAGAGTCCCAAACCTCCCACAACATTCGAAAATTACCATAGTGGATACAAAATCATCATATCCATATATATATATATATATATTTATTTATTAAATTTAGTGGTCACTTAAGAAATATAAATTTATAAAAATCCAAAAGGATATTTGGAATTAGGAAGAAAATTTTTCATTTGCCTTTTTGGTTTTTTCCATAGCTACACATTCATAATCATGCAGTATTTCACTTGTAAGATTGTGAAATATATATTGCATGTAATTAAAGAAAAAGGAAAAGTTGCAAATATAGAAAGTCAACATTTTTTTTTTTTTTGGTGAGGTTGACAAATTTCAACCATTTTGTTAACAGAGAGTCAACATATTTTTATTTTTGTTTTAAATTATAAATTATAAATTTAAAAAAAAAATTACATTTTCAAAATGCTTTTAAAATTAGGAACTTTTGGTGGAGTAATCAACTAATTGAAATTATTCATAAATTAAAAAAGGGACTTTTTAAATCAAGTAATCAGGTCCATGTTTCTTTACATTGTGTTGATGCAATATATAATAGAATTTGTTAATTAATCTTGAAATTTTTAATTTCTTAATGGGTAAATTAGTCTTTTTATAATACTCTACTCCATTTTTCTGGCTTATTTCAGTAAAGAAAGCTCCCTAAGCCCAAGAAAGATTAACGAAAAACGCTGAGAAAACCTAAAAAAAAAAGGGTATTGTAGTAATTGCACTTATAAATACTTTAGGCTGAATTATAATGGTGTTCTTTAATTTTGATATCTATTTATAACTGAATCTCTTAAGAGCTTATATATTTTGAACATTAACACTTGATACAATTAACCCATAAATCTTAAAATTATTGTTAAAAGTAAACTATTTTTTCTTCAAGATGACACATCACAAAAAAACTTGATTGAAATTGGGAACAAACAGAAAACTATTATAAGAGAAAATTGATTAAAATTTTGGAATTTAGAAGAAAAAGAAATAATAAGGTGGGTTTGGAAAGTTTTAATCATTTTGCATGTTTGTTAAAAGAACTACAAGTGACAACACAAAATAACTTATATCAAAATTTCATGTGCCATTTAGTTACTCTTATTTTATTACTCTTTTCTCCTTTTTGTACATTTTCTTATACTCAACAAAATAATTGTTTCATTTAAAATAAAATAAAAAAAATCAAATTTTAGTTGCTCATGTCACTGGTATTTATTAGTATGAAACTAGATTATGCTCGATCAATGATTGATTTAAGGATGAGGATTTTCAGTCCAGGTCGAATTTAAATGCAATTTGTTAGTTTTTCAATTAAAAAATTAATAAAAATAAAGTTAAATTTATATTTTTATTCTTTTCTAAATTAGTCTATTTCAATCTAGATTGAGACCAGATTGAAATAAGTCAATTTTTTTTTCGTTCTATTAATGTCTAGACTAAGGACGAAAGTAAACAATGTTTAGTTCGATATAGTCCAAACTATTCAGTTTAATTTTTTAGTTTAAACTACAATTTAAACATTCTTTTTTATATTAAGAGTTTTTTTCTTTCAAATTTCTCAATTAAATTTGTAAATATGGAGTTTTAGTCAAGTTTCTTTAGTGATAATTTCTAACTTCTCTCTCTCAAATATTAGTTCAAATTCTTCAATTTTCTTCACTATTAAAATTTTTATATATTTTCTTTTAGATAAGAGTTTTTATGTTGTCGTATGAAACAAAAATATCAATTTATATTGTTATGTAAAATTAGAGTACCACGATCTCCACAATTCAAATTCTCGATATCCTCATCAAAAACATATACCCCAATAACAAATTATAATTCAAATATTTTACAATTATACCTATAAACACCCGGAACTTTAAAAGAAATGAATTTATAATTTAAATGCGAAAGTAAATAATAATGTTATGGTTTACATTCCTTGCATATTAAATTGAATTATCTAATAGGATTACGAGAATGTCTCTTCTACGTCGTTCATAAAAAAAATGATAATTAAAGAAAAACGAATAAATAAGTATCTTATTGCAACATTTACTAACACTTAAAGGGAGTCCGGTAAATAAACTATTCACAACCCTCTTGCTGATCGAAATCTGGATCTTGGTCTTCTTGATCTGAAATGTTTAATGAAATAGTGAGGTACACTAACTCAGTAAGAATATCACATTAATTACTGATATAGAAAACCGAATGTTGGTAAAAATCAAAAAACAACTAATGGAGCCCTTGCTTTAAGTAAATACATTTAACTTTTAAAACTTTTTATTCGATACTTACCGTTACACTTTTTCCTAAAATCAACCTATGAAGAAAATTAACCAAATGACATTTCAGTTTCATGCATATGATCAACAATCCTTCCTTTTTAACCTACTTACTAGAACCCCTAGGAATCCATAGGGATATCCTTCTACTCGTGAATCCAGTATCAAGATTTGATAATTAATTTAGTCGTCCTCATACCCCGTCCATTAATGGGCGCCAAAAACACCATCGTCTTGATACCTCATATGGCATGAAAGTGAACTATATCTCCTAAAACCCTTTCGATATGAGACTTCTCAACCCCGTCTGACTGAAATAATGTCCACAGTAGGGTCTTTTATGTACCGGGTCCGTCCACCATTTCTCAGGATACCTAGTAAGCTTTTATTTATTTAGATTCTCATTATCCAAATAACCACTAAAGCATACCAATATCTCAATTCATATTCACAAATTAATTCAAATAGCACTTAAACAAGTGATACAGTTTAGCATAGCCAAATAACCAATAATTAGAATACCGAATAAATAATGCAAGACGAACCAAATAATCAAATAACCGAGAAGATCATAAAAATCATTAATTCGATTACGCAGTATAATAGCAAGCAATATAGGCAGTATAGAAAATAAACAAGGAATTAGGATCAATGTGAACTAACCAATTCTGCTTCACTAGTGACCTGTAATATTTTTAAGGGTTTTCTAATTTTTTACAAAACACAATTGTCGATTATTAATCATCAATTTACTGTAACAGAGAATAGGGTGAGAGATCCTTACCCAGATCGATGTTTCAAAACATCATGCTATTTATTATACCTCATAACGGGTTTTTGATTTTCTAAATTTTTTCTACGGGAATC